AAAGTGCACAAATCCTATAAACAGTAACAAATGGCACTGGACTGTATCATCGAAAAACACCACTTCAGTGAAATGCTCTAAAAGTAAAGCCCCTTCAAACAAAATAGGTCTGTAGACATTCTTAATTGATTTTGTTTTTAAGGTGATGATTGGAAAAGCATTAAAAAAAAACCCAGCTATCACAGTCCACTATTTCTTCTGCTCCATGTGTACAACTCGGACCTCAATGTGCAAAAGAAAGGAATACTTAATACTGTCAGTACAGTCGACCCGTTGTATCCACAGATAATGCATCCACAGATTCAGCCATCCAAAATATTTGAATATATATATATATATATATATATATATATATAATATGCAAAAAGTAAACCCCAATTTTGCCATGTAAGGGCAAAATTTATGTAAGGGGCACAATTTCATTAATCCACTGTATATAATGGTACTTGAGCATCCATGGATTTTGATGTCCATGGGTCATCTCGAAACCAAAACTCAGTGGATGTATGGATACAGAATGTACAAAAGCTTCTTTACAGTGGGGCCCCACCTATACTACCATATACTCCAGTTTCTGAATCCAGATTATCTGCTTTAAACTGGATTATATGAGTCTATCCTGCTAAATAATCAAATTTAAAGCAGATAATCCTGATTCAGAAACTGAATTATATGGCAGGGTAGATGGGCATTGGGTGAATTGGTCCATCTAGCAGCCTCAAAGTAGATGGGAGAACAGTAAGCAGATCAGCATTCATTGCAGAATTCTGGGTGGTTTCCGCAAGGCTTTGGAGCTTGCTATTACTTAATTATAACTGTGTTGCAAGTCTAAATTAGACAGGAAGCATTTTTCATTTGAAGTAAGCAGGCCCTTCCGGTGTGGGGCCCAAGGAAGTCAAAGGGGAATCATGTATTTTTGACCTGCCTTGGCTTAATGCTATGGAACCGCAGGAGTTGTAGTTTTACAAGTTCTTTCACCTTCTTTTTCCAAACTAGAACTTCCAGGACCCCATAGCACTGAGTCATAGGAGTTCAGGTGGGGCCAAACTGCATTATTTCTGCAGTGAAGACCCATCAAGTTTTGTAGAGTGATTATTCCACTTCAACTGCCATGGCAACATTCTAGGCTTTGTAATTTACTGAGGAAAATTGCATTCAAAGCCCCCTTGACAGATGGCCATCCAGCCTCCCCTTAAAAGTCCCCTAAGAAAGAACCTCCACCACACTCCGGGGCAGAGAGTTCCACTGCTGAACAGCTCTCAGTCTGGAAATTCTTCCTAACATTCAGGTGGAATCTCCTTTCCTGTAGTTTGAAGCCATTGTTCTGTGTCCTAGTCTCCAAGGCAGCAGAAAACAAGCTTGCTCCCTTCTCCCTATGACTTCTCCTCAAATACTTATGCATGGCCCTCTCAGCCTTCTCTTCTGCAGACTAAACATGTCCAGCTCTTTAAGTCGCTACTCATAAAGCTTGTTTGTGGCATAATGTAAAATAAACCATGTGTAGTTCATGTTGGATGAGCCCACACACTACCTTGCTAGGGAAGGAAAATATGCTGTGCTGGTAAACAGTAAAGAACAAAGTAATTTACTCTTCTTAGTTCAGAACAACATATCTGCAATATGGTCTGTAGCATCAACTCACTAAATGTCCTTTTAGAGAGATTTAAAATGGTATTTCTTTGTCCATATGAGAGATCTACAGCAGCCAACAAGCAAATCAGTCTGTCTTTCTCTGCTTCTCTCGTCTTCTCTCCCTGCACATGCATAGCTTGAGCCTGAACAAAAATGAAACAGTATCCAAAAGTTCCAAGCTCAGCCACCACCACGTGCATTGCCTGACCTATCCACTTTATGCATCTCATTTTACAGTTGACACACATAAACTAACTGATATCTTGCATGCGCCAACATTTTTCTCTGGACCCTTGATCATTTCTCCTCTGGACTCATTCCAGCTTGTCGACATCTCCTTTCAATTGCGGTGCCCAGAATCGGACATAGTGTGATTCCAGGTGTGGTCTGACCAAGGCAGAATAGAAGGGGAGCATGACTTCCCTGGATCTAGACATTAGACTCCTATTTATGCAGGCCAAAATCCCAATGGATTTTTTTGCTGCCTTGAGGGTACTGCATCTGCAGTAATCTTTGCACCTAGAAATACAAAGTCTGTCACTGCCTCCACGTTTTCTCCCTCTATTTGCCAGTTATCAGTCAGTCTGGTTGCCATATTCTTGTTTTTTTATGTTTAACTGCAACCCAGCTTTTGCACTTTCTTCTTTCACCTTGATTAGAAGGCTCCTCAGCTCCTCCTTACTTTCGGCCATCAAAGTGGTGTCATCTGCATATCTAAGGTTGTTAATGTTTCTTCCAGCAATTTTCACCTCATCAAGCCCCGCACATCGCATGATGTGTTCTGCATACAAGTTGAATAGCTTGGGTGAGAGTATACAACCCTGTCGTAATGCTTTCACAATCTTGAACCAGTCTGTTGTTCCATGGTCAGTTCTTACTGTTGCTACTTGGTCCTTGTACAGATTCCTCAGGAGAGAGACAAGGTGATTTGGTATGCTCATACCACCAAGAACTTGCCACAATTTATTATGATCCACACAGTCAAAGGCTTTAGAATAGTCAATGAAGCAGAAATAGATGTTTTTCTGAAACTCCCTGCCTTTCTCCATTATCCAGCGGATATTGGCAATCTGGTCTCTCGTTCCTCTGCCTTTTCTAAACCCAGCTTGTACATCTGGCAACTCTCTCTCCATGTCTTTCTGGAGTCTCCCTTGCAGGATCTTGACATTACCTTACTGGCATGAGAAATAAGGGCCACTGTACGAAAGTTTGAGCAATCTTTAGCATTTCCCTTTTTGGGTATGGGGATATAAGTTGATTTTTTCCAGTCTGATGGCCATATTTGCTGGCATATGGCATGCATCACCTTGACAGCATCATCTTTCAAGATTTTGAACAGTTCAGCTGGGATCCCGATGTCTCCTGCTGCCTTGTTGTTAGCAATGCTTCTTAAGGCCCATTCCACCTCATTCCTCAGGATGTCTGGTTCTAATTCACTCACCACTCCACCATAATAATAATAATTATAAACCTTTATTTATACCCCGCTACCATCTCCCGCAGGACTCGGTGCGGCTCTTCCAACTCTACGATTCTATGATTCTAAGCCCAAATACATCAATAAAACACAACAACAACAATACAACAATAACTCATAACAAAGCAAAACAATAACAATAATATCACTACACATTTAAAAACCTGTGGCAGGGCCAAATGTAATGATTAAAATTTTAAAAATGCTGGGCATAATATCCTTGATGTTATTATCCTTCCTATACAGATCTTCTGTATAATCTCGCCACCTTCTCTTGATCTCTTCACCTTCTGTTAGGTCTCTGCCATCTTTGTTTCTTATCATGCCACTTTTTGCATGAAATTTATCTCAAATGTTTCTAATTTTCTGGAAGAGGTCTCTGGTCCTTCCTATTCTGTTGCCGGACTCATATAATCGTTTAATGCGGAAAACCTGGGATCAGATCCTGGTATATAGGGACTCTTTATTATTATTATTATTATTAATAATATTATTAACTTTATTTGTACCCCGCTAGCATCTCCCGAAGGACTCGATGCGGCTTACAAAGGCCAAGGCCTCAATACACAACGTAACAATACAAAACCTAAAACAAATTAAAAACAATTAAAGCAATATTAAACAACAAGCAATAAACAATACACTAAAACACAATAAAACTGGGCCGGGCCAGAGTAATGGGTACAGAATTAAAAGTGCTGATGTGACAGGTGGTATATAAGGATTATAGGGTAAGTGCAGTGTGCATGTGCGACAATCTTAATTCTAATAAAGTGCTTCTGGGACATGTTACTGGAGTTTTCCTATTCTGGAAAGGTACATCGGAACAGCCAGGTCTTCAAGTTCTTTCTGAAGACTGCCAATGTAGGGGCCTGTCTAAGATCTTTGGGGAGGGTGTTCCAGTCAGGGGGGCCACCACAGAAAAGGCCCTGTCTTGCATCCCCACCAAACGCGCTTGCGACGCAGGCGGAATCACGAGCAGGGCCTCTCTGGATGAACGAAGTGAACGCATGGGTTCGTAAACAGAGATACGGTCACACAGGTAGGCAGGTCCCAAACCGTTCAGGGCTTTGTAGGTAAGCACCTGCACCTTAAATTGGGCTCGGAAAATAAACGGCAGCCAGTGGAGCTCCTTAAACAGGAGGGTTGACCTCTCTCTGTAAGGAGCACCAGTTAACATCCTGGCCGCTGCCCGTTGGACCAAGTGAAATTTCCGAGCCGTTTTCAAGGGCAGCCCCACGTAGAGCACATTACAGTAGTCCAATCTAGAGGTTTTTTTGGGGGTTTTTTTGTGTCAGGAGCGACTTGAGAAACTGCAAGTTGCTTCTAGTGTGAGAGAATTGGCCGTCTGCAAGGACGTTGCCCAGGGGACGCCTGGATGATTTGATGTTTTTATCATCCTTGTGGGAGGCTTCTCTCATGAGCTGGAGCTGATAGAGGGAGCTCATCCGCCTCTCCCCGGATTCGAACCTGCGACCTGTCGGTCTTCAGTCCTGCTGGCATTATCTAGAGGTGACCAAAGGGTTATCTGAGTCCACACAGCCATATATTCCAGTTCAAAGCAGAACATGTGGGATTTTATTAAGCTGCGTGGAAGGGGCCTGAAAGGCTCAAGGTCACCCATGACGTTTCACAGGGAGACTCGGCCTTAGCACGACACCTCTTCCTCCTCCCAACTCCTTCTGTCTGGATTCGCCTTTGGAAACCCTCCCTCCAGTTCCTCTGCCGCTTCTCTGCCCGCCCGCTTACGTTCTATCCCCTCCTTGCCGTCCGCAAACCGCAGAATCAAGCAACCAACCCGCCCAGTTTGCTTCCCCTCCCACCCCGCGCCCTTTTTTTTTGTTGTTGACGCATCCGCCCCCCTGAGGAGGAGGAGAAGGAGAAGAGGAGGTGCCTCTTTCGCTATAGTCACGTGACAGCTGCATCCGGGCCTTTTGCCTTCTCTCCCTCTTCCCAACATGGCGGCCTCAGGTGAGTGGTGTCTCGGTGGCGCATGGGCCTCCGGCTCGAGCGGCCGGTCTGGCCCTTTTACGACGCTGGGAGRGAAACGGGGCGCCTCAAGGGAGGGCCGGCGGCTTCGCTTCGGCGGCCACCTTGGAGCCTGGGTCCACTGGTGTGGCTCCAATCGCGCCGGCGCGGCCTTGGCTGCCCTCGCTGCGGCGCGCGCTCCCAGAGAGAGAGAGAGAGAGACAGCGCGTGAGGCGAGGGCCTTGGACTGGGATGAGGGAGTGGGGGAGGGGCGGCAGGGGAGCGGGCTGATGGAACCTTCGGCCGCGCGCCAGTGCGCAAGCGCGAGGGCGCGCGGCAGGGCGCGGGCGAGGTGGGGAGGGGGAAGGGAAGGACCTGGGCGGCACCCACGTGGGCCCAGCTCTTTGCTGACTCCCCACAGTCTGGCGTTAGGGGCGGGGCGTGGGTGGGACACGTCGCGTGGGAGCCTATGCCCCGCCTCCCAGACGGGCGTGAGGTGGGTCCACGTCCCTCCTGGTGCTTTATTTCCCCCCCCCCCTCACCACCTCTTCTCTTCCCTTTCCCCATTTAATGTTTGGGTCATCTCTCGCCTAGACTGTGAAGTCATAGAATTACAGGCCTGAATCTTCCAGTTGAAACCAAGTTTGCTCAGGTGTCARTGCAAAGTACTCTTGCAAGGGACCCTTCCACACAGTCCAGAATATCAAGGCAGAAAATCCCACAATATCTGAGTGTGTACTAAGATAACCCAGTTCAAAGCAGATATTGTGGGATTTCCTTCCTTGATGTGTAGGGCTGTGTGAAAGGGTTCTTACAAGGTTACTTCCCTCATTTAAAAAATAATAATCAGTGGAAACTTCTCCCTTATGCACATTCCTGACACTCAGATTGTAGTGGAAGTGACTTGTTGTTGTAATGGAGAAAGTCAATATAAAGCTATAAATGTATTTACACATATTAATAACCAAGCCATTTTTATTCATAGAATCATAGAATCAAAGAGTTGGAAGAGACCTCATGGGCCATCCAGTCCAACCCCCTGCCAAGAAGCAGGAATATTGCATTCAAATCACCCCTGACAGATGGCCATCCAGCCTCTGTTTAAAAGCTTCCAAAGAAGGAGCCTCCACCACACTCTGGGGCAGAGAGTTCCACTGCTGAACGGCTCTCACAGTCAGGAAGTTCTTCCTCATGTTCAGATGGAATCTCCTCTCTTGTAGTTTGAAGCCATTGTTCCTCGTCCTAGTCGCCAAGGAAGCAGAAAACAAGCTTGCTCCCTCCTCCCTGTGGCTTCCTCTCACATATTTATACATATGTCACTAGACACATGGGTCACTAAACATAGTGATACATAGGTCACTAAAGGGGAGTTCACCAAAATACTGTTGGTTGAGTTCAGACCCTTCCACCCAGCCATATAACCCTGAATATCATGGCAGAAAATACCACAGTATCTGCTTTGAACTGGGTTATCTGAGTCCACACTCGGATAATGTGGGATTTTCTGCCTTGATATTTTCTGATATAGGACTGTGTGAAAGGCCCAGAGAGAAGTGCCCCAAGACAGTCTTTGATTAGGGTGGGAAAGAGTGGTGAGGTTTGGCATCTTCCATATAATGCAAGGAAATATGTTACAGGAAATAGCCCCCGGTGGCGCAGTGGGTTAAACCGCAGAGCCTCTGAGCTTGTTGACCAAAAGGTTGCAGGTTTGAATCCAGGGAGTGGTATGAGCTTCCGCTGTCAGACCCAGCTTCTGTCAGCCTAGCAGTTTGAAAACATGCAAATATGAGTAGATCAATAGGTACCGCTCCGGTGGGAAGGTAACGGCGCTCCATGCAGTCATGCTGGCCACATGACCTTGGAGGTGTCTCCGGACAACGCCGGCTCTTTGGCTTAGAAATAGAGAATAGCACCGCCTCCCAGAGTCGGACATGACTGGACTTCATGGAAAACCTTTACCTATATTACAGGGAGAGAGGGAGATCTAGTTTTTGTTGTGAGTCTTAATAGGTGTCTTTGGCTCACCCATCTTTTTTCTTTGGGCCCTTCCACATTGCCCTATAACCTGGAATATCATCCACAATATCTGCTTTGAACTGGGTTTTCTGAGTCCTCACTGCCATATAATCCAGTTCAAAGCAGATAATGTAGGAAATTAGACAGCTGTGTGGAAGGGGCCTCAGGGTGCATCAGCATCATGCATCCGCAAATGGCAGCCCTCAAGCTCTTTGGGCCTCCAGCTCTCAAGAATTCCTGACAATTGAATAAGCTGACAAAGCTGGAGAGCCGCAGTTTGAGGGCCCTTCCAGATAGGCCCAGGATCTGATTCCAGTTTTTCTGTTTATCTCAGATTATCTGGCAGTGGGAACTCAGGGCCCTTCCACACAGACCTATATCCCAGAATATCAAGGCAGAAAATCCCACAATATCTGCTTTGAACTGGGTTATTTGAGTCTACATTCAGATAATGTGGGATTTTCTTCCTTGATATCCTGGGATATAGGGCCTGTCTGGAAGGCCTCTGAGGATGCTTTATAAAGTATTGCATAAATAAATAAGTATAAAACTAATAAAATAAAGGGAGCACAAGTAGCTAAATATTTTTGAGCCTAAATGGGCAACAGTGACCACATTGTAGCTTTAAACAGTTCTTCCTCTGTGCATGAGGCAGGGCATTGTGTGCAAGCATACAGATGCTGAGTTGTTTCTTCTGCTCCAGATTCGCACAAGGTGGAGGATTCTTTTAAGTAGTGCCATTTTGCCAGGTTGTCTTTTGATCTGCCAACTCAATTTCTGAGTCTGTTCAGGGACTTCCAAGTTGCCCATTCTTGGTTTGCCTCTGGAGGAAGTCCTTCGTAGGGGGCTATCCATTTGGAATTGCCTGAGTTTTCCGCCCACAGGGATATTATTGCTGTTGCTGGAGGAATGCCTGATCTGCAGTGTCTGCCATGGCTCGGTGATATGGAATCATGGAATTTGCATTTTGATGAGACACCATAACTCTGACAGAGAAACCGAAAAGACCTTGTAAACTACGGCTCCCATGATCCCACAGCATTGAGGCATGGTTGTTAACATGGTGTCTGTCTGTATTAATTTTGCAGTATAGATGTACCCCTCCTTGCAGCCACTCCTTAAATATGCAACCTGAGGTTAAAGTAACATATGTGAAGTATTTTAATGTTCTGTAACTACTGTAAAGGCTTCTGCCCTCTGTCAGTAAAGGTTTTTTACCTGAGAGAACAGCTCACTAGGAATAAGCCTTCCATTGCAGTTCTGTAGTCTTGTTGACCATGGATTTGTGCTGGAGGATATATATTCCATCTAGGAGTGAAGATCTGCAGAAGTTAAATTCACAAATGTAGAGGGATGACTGTACTAGAGTTAATAATAGTCTCTATTTCTGCTTGAATAAGTATGGGATCGCCATGTTTTCCCATCTTTCCTACTAATCTGGACTGTACATGGACTTTCTATTCCTGGATCAATAGTGTCTGTGTTTCTGTATTGTTATCTTCTAACTAGAAACCCCAGGTGCCTCTGATCTTGCAAGCTAAGTAGGGTCAGCCTTGGTTAGAAATTCATAGGATCATCATAGGTCAACAGATGGCACTTATAAAATGTTTTGCATGTTGGATGAAGCGTAATTGGGACTTGTGCAAGGTTATTCCAGCTTTTCTTCCCCACTGCCGCTCCCACATAACACCATCTTGGTCTGGCCTGCTTGTGTGTTAGTTAGAGCAGAATATTTCGATTGTAAACAGGGAAGCATTTTAATAGCTCTCTTCCATAACAATTTGTCTTACAGGTAGAAAGCCAGTGCAGCCTGAACCAGGTATGATAAGAACCCAACTTTCTTGTATCCCACTATTTTATTTGATTGGAGAAGTTTTTAAAATGGCTGTTGGCATGCAAATCACTCATTCTATTTTACAGTTTCATTTTCAGTATATGTAAATTAAGCATGCTAGATAATTTCTTCTCTTGGTGTCTTTCATCCTGTTTCACATACATGATTTATCACCAAGTGTGTGTGGTATGTTGCTATGATTTGCCTGCTGCCTATGTAGCTTTGTCCTTCAGGAAAGGCTTGTAAGAGGCGAGGCCTGTGGGATGCTTGCCATTTTGTCTGTGATCAAACATCAAATGAAGCTATTTAGTCTGTGTGCGAGTTTCCTCTTTCACTGGCATATGGCACATTGCTATTTGTGCAGAAGCTGCTGGTCATGGTGTGGTCTTCTCCTTTAATCAGAGGTAATTTATTTCTATTAGAATATCATGGCATGCTCTGGGTCATTTCCTAGCAACTCCAGTTAGTGTTTCGCATGATGGGAAATACATCCAAGAGATGTGGTGTTTGTATCTTTAATGTATCTGTCTACTTATGGCAACCCCATACATTTCATAGGACTTTCTCATTCAAAGAATATTCAGAGATATTCCCACATGAAATGGTTGGATCTTGGTAAACTATATGTGCAATTTTGTAAGGCTTTTCCTTGTGTCTTTTTCATTACTTGTGTATTCAACAAGGTGCAACAATTCCTTTCATTGTATATATTTCTCCTAGGAGTTACATATTGGTCTTTTTCAAGTGGAATTCCAGGGAATCTTGGACTTCCTTGCACAGTTATCATTGATTCCTCAAAACAAAACAAAAAAATAGTAATCATGGACAAGGTCCCTGAAAAGCCAGCTTGTCCAAAAGTGCTAATCTCTCCTGAGTTGAATGTGCTGCGTGTGTTTTAGGGTGCATTTTTAGTTCATATATAGAGTTGTTGAACCCAGACAGGTTTGGCAAGAATTCCCTGGATTAGCTGTAGATGCCCCAGGAAAAGGATGGCGAATCACTAGCCTACAGGCAAAATCAGACTCCCAAGGCAGTTTAATCTAGCTTCCTTACATCCATAAAAACTTTTAATTGGAGTCTAATTTTAATAAATTCATATTGTTAGACTTAAAAGGCGAAGAAGCAAAATGTCACGCTTCTGTGGAATGCAATGCTCATGTAAATATTGTATCTCTGATTCAGGTACATTCTTCAACAAAGACCAAACTACCTCTCGGGGAATCTGTTGTCTTTAAAGATAGCCATTCATTCTATGACAAATATCACTTCCCTAGTCAGTGGCATGTCTCATGAGTGCTCAGCTCCATACCTATGAAGCCTTACTTCTAAGTAGTGACAAAAACAACTGTAAATTTTAGCTTCTTCTGGCTCCTGGATTGAGAATGTGGAAACTAGAGTGGATGCTAAGCGGTATACAGAACCCTGTTCAAGGTTCTTGTGAATAGGTCAGTGAGGAGAAGGTTTGCTCTGTGCAGGAATTCTCAAAATGGCAGATCTCTTTACATTGGAGAGTTATTTGTTTTGCTTTTTATAATAGTGCTGCCAACATATTCCCTTGCATTACAACTCTGGGTTCAGATTTTGTTCTCTTCTCCCCAAGTAGCTAGCTGTCCTCCCTTTTCAAGTTAATCTGATTCAGTACCATCTTGCCCTTCAGTAGTATAGCGTTTGTTTTCTGAAATTATAACTCTAGATGACTTACTAGCTTCCCATTTCCCTTTTTGTATTACAAGAGACAAAATTTTGAACTATAGATTCTCTATGTGAGACAGTGATTCCTTGACCTTTCTTACTCACTGTGCCCCCTTTTCAATCAGTTTTTTTAACTTCCTGGTATGGGTGGGAGCATAAAATAACCTTTGCTTTTTTCCAACTTCCTTATTTATTGATCCCTTGGATTCTTCTTGAAATGCAAGTTCAAGGTGAAAAAGATGTCAGTATTTCATGTTCCCTTTTTGAGCTTACTCTGAAATATTTAATCTTGAATATAATGCACAAAAGGTTCTGTGGATCTGTTAAAGATAAAGGAGGGTCCTACAGCATCTTCCCACATATTCATTCATTCCTGAGTAAGGGAGCATCTATTTATCTCTGTCTGTGGGTCATTCTCTGGCAGACTTGACTTTTTCCTCCCAATGATGTAATACAAACTCTGTATTTTGAAATGTGCCAGACTGCACCAAATAGCATTACACAGGAAATGCTATTGTGCAAGGAAGAGGTAAAGGCCTGATTAATCTTAACTGAGCATCAGTTTTATATATATTGTGGTAAATAATGCTGAATTCCTTTATAATTTTTTAGCTTGTTACATTATTTGCTACCAGGAATGTTACTTATAAAGATTGTCTTTCCAGAGGCTGTGCGGGGGAACTATATGAACTGGGTTTCTTTTTTAATTTTCACTGTACAAGAAAAGGTTGAAGCTTTGAATGTTTGCCTTTTTGTGTGTGTAAGCTTCCCTGAGTCCTCTCGGGGAAATAGGTTGGTCTAAAGTATTATTATTATTATTATTATTATTATTATTATTATTATTATTAGCTGCCTAGTGCTGTCAGTTGAGGCATTAGACCCCCCCTCCCCCCAAAATTGCTAAAGTTTTAAAAATACCCTCTTTTACAACCAAGTCTCTTGTTTATTCTGCAGACACAGTGGGCTCTGCCCCATCTTTCTTTCTAAATAAATAGCAGAACTCAAAAGTTGTAGTTGCATTTATTTTTATAACATCAATGCAGTTCGCAAGCCAGTGCTTCAGTCCAGCAATTTTAACAAGTACCTTTCATATGTACTCTGAAAGAGAAAGAATAAACCATTTTGTTTGAATATATTTTCAGAACTTCATATAAGAATTATCTGTCTATCTTTATGTCAGTCTATAAACAAAATTGCAAGTTAAATTAGATTGAAAAGTGTTGAACTGCCCAGGGGATTGTCATGAACGTTATAGTTAGATGAACCTAGGTTTCCTATACCTAAAACCAGTAGGGTGTCTTCCTTCATAAAATGACCTTTGTCTTGTTCCCAAGGATAAGTACTTCAAATAATAAACAGTTCCATAAAGCTGTATTATGCTAGGACGAGCAGCTTGTATTTCAGCACCAATTGCTATGTGGCTGTCAAGATGGCTTCAGCTAAGTTACAGGAATTGTATCTGTTGTTAACACAGTAGCTTTTAGGTCTAATTTCTGGCCTAGTTCTTAAGAGTAGCAAATGTGAAGAAAACGCCTGTGCCAACTCAACTGGTACACACATAGTGGAGTCTTTTTGGCAAAATCTGAACAAGCTATGAGCAGGAATTGGCATGTACCAAGAAGACAAGTTCTTCCCATACATTTGAATTATCAGTATTGTTTTTCTTGAGCTTTAATAGAGTTGATAATATAAAAATAGTATTATACTGTAAATTTTTGCAGTAAGGCTTGCCTCATGCTGTTTGCTCTCTGCCTGCCTACCGAGTTGTCAGCCGTTTGATGCAAACCGAGCCAGCAGGTTTTGAGTCAAGTGCCTGCTAGTTACACTTCAATAACAGTCACTTAGGCCCCTTCCACACAGCTGTATAAGATTCCATATTATCTGCTTTGAACGGGATTATATGACAGTGTGGACACAGATAACCCAGTTCAAAACCAATATTGTGGATTATCTGCCTTGATTTTCTGGATTATGTGGCTGTGTGGAAGGGCTTTGAGAAAGCAGCATAAGGCAGGCTTTTTAGGAGTGTGTCATCAAGAGAAAAGTAGTGTAGAGATGGCTATATGCGAAACATATCTGTTTTAAGAAATTGCACATATTCCAGTAGAAATACAGCAAGGTTTATTTTCGAAGTTTGTACTCAGTAGGTCACTACTGCTGACTGACAGGGTTTTTTATTTTCATTTCCAAGTTGATGTCATAACATGTCTGTGTCCTTGACAGTCTGAACCTTCACCTTTCCAAAAGGGCTGATACTAATACTTTAATTATATATGATACTTTCAAAGAGACTACTGCTTTAGGGATGCTACCTAGCATGACTGGTAGCAGTAGTTTATTGGCAAGTATAAGGCTGAATGACCCTTATTCAAAATGCTTGGGGCAAAATGTGTTTTGAGTTTTGTTTTTGTGATTTGAGAATATTTGTATTTTCTATGTATACATAATATCATATGATGTCTTAAGAAACAGGATCAAGTCTAAACATGAAATTTGTGTTTCATATACCACATATATATATATCCATCCCCTGAAGGTAATTTTAATATTTAATAATTTTGCGCATGAAACAAAGTTTATATTGGAATATCAGAAAACAAAAATGTCATTATCTCAGCCATGAGATTTTGGAGTACTCTGGATTTCAAAATTCTGTATAAGAGATACTCAACCTGTAATTGCTTTTTATTACACTCAGTATGTGTGCTTCGACATCTAATGTTTTCCACTCATACCTTCAAGATCCTACTTTGCCTTTGGTGCATGTGCGAGAAGATGGAGCTAGGTAGAGTTAAGTGATACCTGACAGAGCAAGGGATGGTCTGGCAATTCTTCATTAGAGTGGGTCAAAGTGGAGCTGAGGAACTCTAAGCAACTCCACAGTGCTCATATATTCAGTGCTTGCCCTCCACAGAGTCCTCAGATTTATTTTTTCTCCACCCACCTGACAGCCTCCAGGAATTTTGGAGCAAATCTTTCTTTCTTTCTTTTTTTAATTAGAGGAATTTTATCACAACCAGAATCAGACCTCTGACTACTTTGGGAGGTTTTCGGAGGGCAGGTTGCTATTGAAATATAATGGAGTGGCAGTGTGACTGTTATTAAGCTGGCTCAGGATGCCATGAAATCTAACAAGGGCAAGTGTTTTGTATTGTTTGCTGAACAAATGTATACAGCATTTTATAAGCGGCTGCAGGAATCCCCAGCTGTTAAGCATTGGCATGAATATTAAAGCCAATAAAATGAACTCCAGCTGAAATTCCATATAAATTTACACGATTTGGGATTTTGAG